GGCAGAAAGCTCATATGTACTCTTTGCCTAAAATTTTTGGTGAATTTCGGTCTGCTTTCCTGCTCATTGTCGGGTTGTGATCCCATCTGTGTCCAATATACGACGTGTAAAAGTGAATTGAACTTATTTTATTCAAAATAATTTATATTTCAACGAACCCATTCGTCATCGGCACAGTGAACAATAAATATGTTATATATAAAGTGCTGGCAATAAGAATTTCAAGCAAAACTTTTTTTTTCACCTTTCTTTTACATCACTTGATAGAGTGTGAGCTGCTGATCACGAAAAACTACTTTTTAGCGCCAGAAAATGCTTCTTCTGGGGTCGAAAAATACGAAAAACACATCTTTTTCAAAATGTGCAAACTTTTCTGCTTCCTTCTTTTTTCCAGCTTCTAAAGATATTTTTCAAATTCAGCATAAAAAACTGAGTACAGACAAGTTATTAGATCGAGTCCAATCTAAAGAATTCTTTGATGATGGCGCTTCGAATCGCTCCGAGTGCAATACGTATAGGCCGATTTTGGAAGCCTATCTAGTTTTTTTACGTAAGAGATGAAGGCAAATATTTTATTTCATTTAACTCATCATACCACCAGTCACAAAAAAACGCATCGCGTCTTTTTTCCTTTTCTCTTCGTTGTTGAGAAAAACTGTTTTTCTGAATTTTGGGCTAAATAGACAGAATTTGACTCGTATTTCTCCATTTTCTTCATAAAAACTAAGCTTTCGTGCAATAACCTTATCATATTCGGAAGCACCGCGGAAAACTGAATCGATTGATGTATGTTTCGAAAAATGTCGTTACCTTTAATCTTTTGGTGAAAATTTCAGCCGGGTCTTCTCCGAAAACTAAAAAACTGAAGTCAATGGGAAAAGTTAAATCATATATCAATCGATTCAGTTTTTCGTACTGATTCCGAATATGATAAAATTATTGCATGAAAACTTAGTTTTTATGAAGAAAATGGAGAAATAAGAGTCAAATTCTATCTATTTAGCCCAAAATTCAGAAAAACAGTTTTTCTCAACAACGAAAAGAAAAGAAAAAAAAACGCGATGCATTCTTTTGTGACTGATGGTATGATGAGTTAAATGAAATAAAATATTTGCCTTCATCTCTTACGTAAAAAAACTAGATAGGCTTACAAAATCGGTCTATACGTATTGCTCTCGGAGCGATTCGAAGCGCCATCATCAAAAAATTCTTTAGATTGGACTCGATCTAACAACTTGTCTGCACTCAGTTTTTGATGCTGAATCTGAAAAATATATCTTTAGAAGCTGGAAACAAGAATATAGCAGAAAATTTTGCATATCTTGAAATAGTTTTTTTTTCGAAAAAAACGACGTCCTTCAAGTTTTGCTTGATCAGCGGCCCACACTCTATCAAATGATGTAAAAAAAGCCAAAAAAAAAATTACTTGAAGTTTGAATTGCTCGCACCTTAAAATGTCTTCATTTTTTGAAAGTTTAAATATATTTGGAAATGTCTTTGCTTTTTTTGACGAACATGATCTTGTTTGTTACTCTTAAAAGATTTCTCGATGAACTAAATATTGTAAAAAGATTGACTTTCTGCCAAATTTTTATCCCTCTCCCCCACTCCTAAAAACAATCGACGACCCGGATCTACAGACTGTCACAGTCTGCAGTAGGAAAAGGGAAGTAAGTCCAAATTTCTGCTGTACATATTTCAAAATTTCTTTTAGAGCTTGTTTCAGAAAATGAGAGTATTATTCATTTATCAATGATTTAAGATAAATAAGAGAATCATTTATGTTAGTATTTGTCTTTGTCTTCATGCAAAAATTTTGTAATTTTAAAGAATAGTTTTCATATTGGATCCTTTAACTTAAATAATTTAACGATTTTTTAAAATATTTTTTTTCTTTCACCGTGGACTCTTCAAAAAAGTCTTTTCATCATAATATGCGATGATCAACATAATCACAATGATCAAGTTATTGAGAAAACTATACCTTGTTTTGCATATTCTCCATTCATCACTTTTCTTCATAATTAAGTACTATAGATGAGAGAAAACGTTTTTTCTTTTGTAGTTCAGATGCTCATGTGCAATCTATCCGAATTTTAATTTGCATCTTACTCTCCTCACACTGAAATAATAGCTCATAAACACCTGAAAATGTTGAAAAACTGTTATGATCATTCTCTGATTCAACAAAGTATTCTTCTTGAATTTCACGTATTTTTTTTATTGATAATTGTTTGTTTCATAAAATGTTTGGTTGTCTTTTGCCACGTATAACTATTAATTATATTGTCGTTGTATGTCCTTGTTTTGTCACACATATACAATAAATATAGTTTGCGCGCGTCAATTTTTTGTATATGAATCCAATGGATGACATAAAAGGTTTTCAACAATAGACAGTGTTCGTTCGAGGTTAAATTAAACATAACTGAACTTGATAGATTTAGTAGTATACAAGAAAAAAAAAATCGATGTGAATACGACAATATATCATGACAATACGAACCGTATACTAGTTATCGTTTTTCGACGAAAAAGTCTCTAAACAATGCCGCTGATGTTTTAATGACAAAGAAATATAATTGTTTTATAATTAGTTCAGATCGTTTAAGATAGCGGTACAGTCAGAACACTTGTGTCTCTTTTGTGTTTTTTGGGGATAGGAGACGGCAGTGGTAGGTGGCGCTCTTATTGCGTGCAGCGTGTTATGAAAAATAAGCGGTGTTAAATAGAGTAGCAGCAATCTTTCAAGAAGAAGAGGGGAGCTTATGTTCTAGTTTCGTCGTTAGCTATTCTATTGTTGATATGCATCTTGAATAATATGGTACACATTGCTAGAGCGCCACCTGCTAATGCTCCCTTATTCCTAAAAAACCTAGATAGACGCTAGTCTTCAGGCATCACTACTACTTTAAGGTGCAACTTTTATTGAGTAGAATGATCGTTTTTAATAAAAAAATAGATGAAATCATACTTGAATGATTAAGAAACTATTAATAATTGATTTTCTGCGAGTGAGACATATTAGTTTTAAAAACAAAAACCGCAAGTTTTAGAACAACATATTTGCCATAAAATTAGCTCAAAATTGAATTTTTAATAATTTTTAAAAAATCTTATAAGCATAGAACAAAAATGACTATTAGTAGCGATATTTTGAGATAAATATTTTTCTTAATTAATAATAAATTTTGAGTCTTTGCTATTTCGTTCAATATCAAAAAAAATTAAACACAAATGAATTTCACCTTTAACAGATGTTATGAATGATAATCACCAAACATGACATTATAAAATGCATCTTCACTAAGATACATATGAAAGAATATTATTAAAAATTTTTTCAGTATCTTTTGTTTTTTTTTTTTTTTTTTTTTTTTTTTATATATTTATTTTCATATGTTCCACAAAATTAATTCAATATTTTAGATATTTCGATAAAAATTTGCATAAGTAATATTTTATCTATACAGTTGTAAAAATCAATATGAATACGTTTTTTTTTCCTTATCATTCGAAATAATAAAATAACGAAAGCATCCTTCAGGTAGCAGTCATAGTGCATATAGCAAAAAAATAAAACGAGTAGGAGGATATGCAGCTTATTCGTTCTTTTTTCCTTCGTTGATTGTATATCATGAAAAGAAAAATGATATACAGAAAAATTAACTCGAGCGCTGATTTTTTTGTCTATGTGGTTTTCTATGTACACGTGAGATACAGGTAAATAGAAAAGTTATAATAAAGTTTGAGGTTTTTTAATTAGAAAAAAAAAACAAAGTAGTATATGATTCCTACGTTAATAATAGTCAATATTTATTTATGCTTATTGATACATTAGAATAGGAAAACTTTTTTATCAATTTTATGTGAACATTATGTTAACCTTCCATTTAGAACAATACGAAAAACGAATCAATTGTATCGTTTTGACTTTATTTGAATTGAGTATTTTATATGACATCAACAATTTTCAGAATCATTATTACTATTGTCTATAGAAAGATGTGTAGATAGACTTATATTGATGCTTTGTTAATGTAAATATTTAATGTAGGCCAGATGAAGGTATAATAAAAGCTTCCGTATTCGTTGAATGGATAAATACCATAACAGAAACTTTGATTATTTTTTTTTCATTTTCAACTTTTATGTGACTTAGGTCTAAGAAATAGATTTTTACAAAAATAGAAGAATGTTAAACAGTTCGTACTAAGGTCATTATCATTGCATTACGAATCGTAAATGAATAAAAAAAAACGTGTTAATTGATAAGGTTTCGTGGACAAATTCTGTCAGAAATTAATCTCAAAATCTTTCAAATATTTTAACAAATTGAAGATCAAATAGAAATTTCCTTCTTGAAATACTTAATTTTCAGAGCATAATTTCAGAAGAAAAAAAAAAAAGTGTAAAAATCGAATGTATTTCAACATTAACCATCCAAAGATAAAGGCATCATTTTTTTGTCAGAGTTTATTTCAATAATATCATCGATTTCGAAGCACTTTATATAGTGTTTTTTTTTCATAGGTTGACGAAAAATAAAATCTATTTCGTTTTATTTTTATTCTTATATACCTTTTAATAATATACGAATATTAGTTGCCATTTTAGTCCCTTTAGTTCTTTTGGGTGTGTGTATGTAGATATGAGTGAAGGCAACACGCTCAAAAGGACTAAAGATTGAAAAAAAAGTATGAATGTCGTAATAGTTTGGAAAGCATAAAAATAAAACGAGATGAGTTTGATTTCTCGTGGAACCTTGAAACTACATATCAATAAAAATTCTAATAAGATTTAATATTTTTATGAAATTATTTCTCATTTCGATTGTTTAAAGGTAAAGATCTGAAATAATAAGTGATAAAATGATTTCAAACAAGAACGATATTATCAATCACAAGAATTCTTATGAAATTTTCATACCAAATATAAATCAACGAGAAAATTCTTCTGTGAAAACAATACAAGTTCAAACCAAAATTAATATTTCTTTGATGCCAAATAATGTTGAATCAACATCTTCACATTCTCAATCAATATCATTTCGTTTAAATCCTATTACTTCAACAATATCATCATTACCAGAAAATAATAATAATAATAAAACTTTCAAATCGGAAATTTATTTTAATCCAACACTTAAAGAAAAAATTATTCAATTAGAACCAAAATTACATGCTGATTTATCTTATTGTCATTTAATCGATGCAGATATATCTATTGTCGTTAATGAAATAATTATTGATAAAAAATGTACAGAACTTTGGTTACATGGAAATGAAATAACATCACATGGTGCATCAATATTAGCATCAGGTTTAATAAATAATTCAAAATTAAAAAGTCTTGATTTTTCATTTAATCCAATCTCTGATTTGGGTGTACATTCATTAAGTCAAGCATTATTACCACATCAAAATTCATCTCTTAAAATTCTTTATCTTAGTAAAAATAATATATCAAATAATGGAGTTATATATTTATCTGAAATGCTTAAAATAAATCGTACATTAAACGAATTATGGTTATCAAATAATGATATTGGTGATGAAGGTGTTAAATTATTAGCTAATGTATTAGCTTATTATAATAAAACATTGAAAATTTTATCTCTTTCAATGAACAGGTTAATAACAGATTCATCGATTGATTATCTTATTGAAATGTTTGAAAATAATCGAACATTAAAACAACTTTGGATCAACGATTGTAATCTTAGTGAACATGGAAAAATGAAACTTAGTGAAAAAGCTCATCAAAAGAGAAAATTTAAAATTGAATTGTAATATTTATATAAGATAGTGTAAAAAAAGTTTAACAACAACATTTTTTTTTCTGTAATTTTAATTGCCTAGCTCAAAACCCAATTAGTGATTTTAGTATTTCATGAAGTTTTCTGTGCAATGAATTCTCTACCGTGAATTTATACATGGATTTATCATAGCCAAGTTTCTAAAAGTTAAGCACGGTAGTTTTGAGGTCACGGTAGACTTTATCAGAAGTGTTTTTTTTTAAACTGCAATTTTAAAGAACATAAAATACTGAACAAATGAAAGGCTGTTGCATTTTTTATGATTTTTCCTTAAAGAGGTTGAAAATATTAGAAAAATCAAAATTTATTGACTAAAATTACGGTTTTTTTTTAGGTTGTAATACTTTTCAGTTTTTTAAGACAAAGTCATAGAAAATGCGGCGATCCCCCATTTTGTTCATAATTTTTGTGCTGTTTAAATAGTATTGTTAAAATATACCTGTGACGCAATTATGAAATTTTACTACGGAATACATTACATAGAAAACTTCATCAGATATGAAAACCACTGGCTGGATTTGAGCTGGGTACTTGACAATATAGAAAAAAAATCAAAAATACGTTTTTATTAAATTTTTTTCCACTACTTTCGCTATTAATAATAAATAAATTTTATTTCTAAGTTTTTATATCTAACAAAGGTATATCTCCAACTGTCGAGCTCCATTCGATTTGATATTAGGGCTATTATTAGGTCTTCATGAAATTAAGAAAAGCCTTAGAAGGGAAGAAAGCCCAATGTTACAACTCCGAAGTCTTGCCTCTCTTCACTTGCTTCAGGCTCATGATCTATTGGTAAGAATTTACTACCGTTTTATTGAAGTTTTTAGCTATAACAAATCATTTTTAATGATGTAATTATGAAGAACTTTAATGTGACAACGGCCGTTGAATTTATGAAATAATCCTTAGAAAATTCTGAACGTTTAACAGAAAACGAACGTGTCGTTCTTCAGTCATTCAACAATTTGAAATGAACCGAATCATTGTATTTCTATTGTTGTAAGCCGCTGTTGGTTTTAGAAAACTGAATATCTCAAGAACAACAGGATCATTTTCTATGAAACTTTCAGAACTTTCTAATGATTTTTTGATCAATCTAAAGGAAAAAATTTCACATGAAAATTCTTTATTTTGATATTATCGGGAATACTTTGCTCTAACTAAAAATATCTAGTAAAATGATCATAATTCGTTATCAAGCGGCCATGGACTCTATTCTTTTTAAGCGCTTTTGTAGTCTCAGATAGATTTAATCGTAGCCATAATATCAGACCAGTAGATGTCTAATAGTTGGGGATGTTATCTCTTAAAATTTAATTCGTTCAATATTTATATTTGCGTAAAATATCATCAATTAAAAATTCAGGCAATAAATTTACTTGAATTTATATTAAAGATTTGACAAGAAAATTCATAATAGTACTGCATATTTTAAGATTTTATTATTTGAGCTTCTTACAAATTATCGTTTAATGTTAAATATTTGCGTTATTGAGTAAACATAAATAAATTCATATTCTTTTTTAAGAGAAAAAATATTTCTGATGATTTCAAGACTATCAAATATGCAATAGTATTATACAGCCGTACTTTCATTATAAAAGAAGCTCAATTGAAATTGTTTATGTGTTCTTAAAATAATGTGTTATAAAATCTACCAATAGTTACTTTTGCCCTTCATTCTTCAAAGAGTTTCTTTTCAAAGAAGTATGTAACATTTTTTTTCATTCGTTTACTAGACATTTCATACTCTTGCAGTGAAAAAAAAACAACATCCGATGATCGTACCATATGATTCTTATCAGTAAATGGTAATAGAATGTAACATAATTATCTCTAACCATAGTAAATCAAAACAGAATAGACAAAAAACAAACATATAACTATTGTCAAAAAAATAATAAAACAGAAACATAAATTCATTTATTGTTTTGAGAATTTTTCTATTGTAATTAATCTATTATGACGACAGAATATTCTTGGTATGTCTATTTTTCAATTGAGACAATTTTAATGACAATACCACATTATGGTATAAGTTTCTATGATTATTTAACAAAATCTAAATCATGGCGATATGAAATACAAAAACGAAAACCTCAAGGTATTGAATTACAAAAAGCTTCTGTTTTTTCACATGCAATAGTACATTTTATAATACGTTCTTCTATATGGTATTTTCATATTTATTGTAAAACAATGTCAAATATGAATTCAATATCATTAATATCATTTATATTAAAAATGATTATATTTGATGGTTTAGGAGTAATATTTCATCAATTTCAACATTCAAAATTTGGTCGAATATTTAATCATTTAAAACATCATCAATTACGTACACCAACTATAGATAGTTCAGCATATTTATCAATGGGTGAATTAATACTAAGTAGTCAAATTGGATGGATATTAGTTGGTTTTATTTCAGGTTCATTTTGGGATCAATGTTTATTTTTGGTCATTTCATCAACTATTAAAAGTTTATGTCATAGTAATTATGATCATCCTTGGGAATATACAAAATTATATCGTTTATTAAAATTAGTTGGATCACGTGAACATCATGTACATCATTTACATCCGAATAAAAATTTTGCTGATTTATTTATATTTTGGGATCAATTATTTGGAACTTTTCTTGATCCTAAAGATGTCGATGGAATTAATAATCATAGGAGTATTATGACTAAAAATGTTGAATAGAATTTTTATGTTAAATACTCTATTTTTTCTTTTGAAAGAAAAAATTCAAAAAATATAAAAACAGATATATATAGTAAAAATCGCTCGTTTCGTTTTTGACAAAGTAAACAACAAAACGAATTAGGACAAGACATGTATCTCTTAAGTTTTACACTTTGTCTTCATTTAGTGTTTTGTTTTTGTTTGATTAGAAACATTACTCAATTGAAGCCGAGCTATTCTTCAAGAGTTATCGTATTGTTTTTGAGAATTTTCTTCGTTGTTGTATGACTGTAATTGAAAATTTTATTACAGAGACTACTAGTAATCCTGATGAATGTGCTAGGATGATTTTCAACAAAGTATCAGAAATAATATCTTACTAATAATGTGCCACCGGATCCTCTACTGTGCATTGTCTGAGCATAGTACAACAAATCAGGTATCTGCTTTGATATTTATCTAATTTCTAGGGCACTCTATAACAAAAAAACAGCTTCCAACTAGTTATTCGTTAAAGCACTTTGAAAAGTATTTACGAATAGAATCTATCGAGATCAGAATTTTAGGACTCGAAATCAGTCGACTTCAGTTCCAGGTTGAGAACCCGATAGGCTCTATTCGGAAGCCAACTACGAAAAAAGTCAAAGTACCGCAAAATTTCTCTATCATACTGGTAGCTGAGTATCCTTTCGGATTTTCTGAAATCCATAAATCTACTAGAAAAGTCTCCTCCAAAAGTGTATTCATTCTTTTTTATTCTAAGTTACACAGTGTATTAAATATTGATGCACCAACAGAAGATCCTTTCAACAGTTGAACCTGACATAAAGAATAAATTGAAGAAAAGAATTTTCTTTGCATATGTTTACATTTCATTAAAAAATTTTTTATTTGAATTGCAATGTCTATCATTAAAAAACGTACGATTACCATAATTATGTTTTATAGCAATGCCAAATCGATTGAGATGTTTTGATACAACAATAAAGAAAACCATAGAACAGAAGTTGGCTCTTGTTTTTTTGAAGATTTTGCAGCTAATGTTGTATGACAATAATACAATGAGACAAATAGTGGTAAAGATTAGATGAACAAATGAAATATAATTAATTAAACAAGAATTCGTCTCTTTAAAGATGATTCTATTAGTTATGCATGTACGTACGAGTGAGTCATCAACGTTTGAAGATTTCGCATGTTTACGTGTATTTTTTTTCGCATTCACTTAAGCGTCTTTGATATTAATTTGATGTATTGCTTACTTAATCGATGAAGACTCAACTGTCGTACCATCTTCAATATTACGAACTGACTAGAGGTGTCAGCTTAGCATTAGCATTGCATTATTTAGTGCAAATTTTAATACTTTTGTATTAGGATTAAAAATTTAACTTAAGACTCTTGTGTTAGACTTAAAAAATTAATTTAATACTTTGGCTTTAGTATTAGAAAAGTATTAGTCTAATATTAATGCCTATAGTTCCTGAAAATAGAACAAAATTGCTCCTTTATGATACTTTTTTTCCCAAAATAGAACACTTTTGTTCTTTTATTGGGCCCATAACGGAACAAAAGTGTTCTATTTTGGGAAAAAAAGTATCATAAAGGAGCAATTTTGTTCTGTTTTCGCAAACTATAGGCATTAATATTAGACTAATACTTTTCTAATACTAATGCCAAAGTATTAAATTAATTTTTTAACTCTAACACAAGAGTATTAAGTTAAATTTTTAACCCTAATGCAAAAGTATTAGCATTTTCCTAATACTAATGCTAAGCCGACACCCATAGAGCTGACTCTTTAGTTAGTGTTTTATAATATAGCTAAAACGTATTCGAAGTCTATTGAACCATGTAAAAATATCTAGAAACTAATATTTCGTTCGACTTTAATCACTAAGACATTACAAGAACAGTTTTGTCTCTGTCTAAAAATGTAAGACTTAAAATATGTAGTCGTGCTTAATAAAGGAGCTTTAATTTTTTATGATCTTGATGGAACTATTTTCTTTTAAGATAATAGTTTTACTCTTTCTCTGCTAAACTATGTATTTAAGTCAATTGTCTAAATATGTTTTGATATAAATAACATCAATTTATAGAAAGAAGTCAAAACTTTTGGACCACCATTCAATATGCGATATTACTTGTTAAAAAAAACCTACGGAATTTTGAATCAACTATATATTATTAACAAGAAAAAATGATTTCAAGAAAATTGAGGTCATCGAAGTAATCAACCGAACTCAATGTTAAAAGGATGACATTTTTTCGATGAAAGAC